CACTTTCATTGAGACAAAAAACAAACAAACAAGCGCCCCTGACATTCAGTTTCTGGGTACGCAGCTCGGAGCCTCACGTGACGGGGTCACCTTCAGCGGGAGACACTGTGGTTTCACCCCAGGTAGCACTGGGGCCGCTGGCGCCATGGCAACCCCTTGCACCATGTGGAAGCGCCTGCGAGCTTAACCTCAAGAGCCACGCCTCTTCCTTTCCTGTCAAGACTCAGAAGAAGAAAACAGAAGCACCCGGAGGAGGAGAAACCGCAGAGCAGGCCCGGCCGCCGAGCTCCGAGCTGTGCAAGCAGCCCTCCTGGGCGAGCGCCCTGGTCAAAGCTGTTCTTTCTTTCTTTCTTTCTTTCTTTCTTTCTTTCTTTCTTTCTTTCTTTCTTTCTTTCTTTCTTCTTCTTCTTCTTCTTCTTCTTCCTTCCTTCCCTCCCTCCCTCCCTCCCTCCCTCCCTCCCTCCCTCCCTCCCTCCTTCCTTCCTTCCTTCCTTCCTTCCTTCCTTTTCTTTTCTTTTTTTTGAGCCTTCACGTGTGGACTCAAGGTATCCACTTTGCAGGGTTTCTGTAAATGCTCACGTCATAGGTAGACTTAGTGAGCATAGCGACATCCGCACGGTAGCTGGTTATTCCTTCGTAAATATTGTTCTTCGCACCGAAGACACCAGTAAAACATTCGGCACGAGCACGGAGATTCCTTGTAGTCCTTTCACTATGCCCTTACTCTCTACCCCGGAGAACCGGAACGCTACGAAAACACGCGCATTCAAGGGAGGAATATAATCGAGGCGTTTTCGCTGCTTGATGCATATTTGACCAGTTGGGTTCCTTCTGCTTCTGGGCTGAATAAGTTTCTCATCTGTGTCTCTCAGTCTCTGTCTTTCTTGGCTGCGGACTCGGGTCTGGCGTTCCTTGGGATGCCCGGCCTAAATAATAAAGGCTAATATGCTAATCGACTGAACGGCGGAACGACCGGTCGCTGTGACATGCACTGGCCACCAGGGGGCAGATGCTCAATGCAGGAGCTGCCCCCTGGTGGTCGGTGTGCTCCCACAGGGGGAGCTCTGTTCAGTCAGAAACCAGGCTCATGGCTGGGGAGCAGAGTGGCGGTACCGGAGCCTCTCCCGCTTCCATGGCAACACTAAGGATGTCTGACTAATGGCTCCCGGACTGCGAGAGGGCACAGGCCAGGCTGAGGGACCCCCCCCCCCCCCCCCGCACCACCACGAGTGCCCGAATTTCATGCACTGGGCCTCTAGTTAGTGTATAAGAGCCAAGACCCCAAAAAGGATGCTGATATTCTGCGGTGACCAGCGGGCTCACAGATCACGGGCCTTCCTTCCCAAACGGCACGAAGTCAGAAAGGCATTCGGGCTCATCGGGTCTACGAGAGGAACGCCGTGTCCACAGATGCAGCGTGCTCTGTTCCTGTGCGCGTCAAAGTGTCCGAAACGATCACCTGTCATATTCTTCGGGATCCCCGGCATGACGACAACACAACCAACCTTTTTCTCATAAACAGCAGTAAGAGGATTGTCATCGGACACCCTGTCCTCTGCGTCTAACGCTTTCCGGGGCCCGTGACTGCACCGCGCAACACCTCTTTCAGTCTTCGTCGTCATTCCCTAGGAAGTAGGAAAACGCGTGGCCGACGCATGCGCTGGCGGGATGTTTACATGCAGAACCGCAGGGGGGGAGATTTGCATCTGCCGGGTACATGATAACGCTGCTATAATGGTGCTATTATTATCATATTTCACTGATAAACCAGCAGGGGGGTAGGAGGGGAGGAGGGAAGACCGGTTCTCTGGCTTTCTGAAGCCCAGATAAGAGCTGGTCCCTTGCCCAGAGCACTCACTGCACGAATACTTAGTCATTGCATGTGGCTTGTTGGGTCGGCTGTCTGCGGACCATCGATCAGGGTTACGGAGTGCGTAAAAGTGGACCCCTTTCCTTTATTTATTTTTAATATATTTTATTGATTTTTTTACAGAGAGGAGGGGAGAGGGATAGAGAGTTAGAAACATCGATGAGAGAGAAACATGGATCAGCTGCCTCCTGCACACCCTCTACTGGGGATGTGCCTGCAACCACATGCCCTTGACCGGAATCGAACCAGGGACCCTTCCGTCCGCAGGCCAACGCTCTATCCGCTGAGCCACACCGGCCAGGGCCCTTTCTGCATTTTTTTCATGGGAGATGCTGAGAGCCAGCATTTATTTCATCTGTGTCGCCCCACCCCTCTGACCTCGTGCTTTTCTTAGATCTGTCGAACCCGACAGGTTTAAACCCCCTGGCAATGGCATTCCGTTTCTGTCTTGGACGGGGCGGGGCGGGAAGGTGGTATTGAAGGGCCGAGGGCATCTTTTGAAATGCCATCGTCCCTGGGAGGAATCCCCGTGTTCGCTCAAGTCTGTGCTGGGGACTCGGGGGCCTGCCTTCCAGGTGGCTTTGGATTAAGAGGCGCTGGAACGTTCCGAGCTGTAAACGAAACATAGCGGGCGAGGTGAGCTCAGTCCCGGACGTGTGTCAGGACAACGCAGCGTTTGCCGATCAGGCGCCCGGTTACCCGCATTTTCATCGGGAACTGAACAGCCTCAGCAGCATTGCAGCTGGGACAGAGGCGGCTGGCGAATGACTGATGGATTTTTGGTGTTTTGGCGCCACCTACTGGAATAGGTTAGGTATTATTCCTTGGTCCAGAAAACAGCACATATTCTTTTTTTTTTGAGATATCTTCCTTTTCTTTCTTTTTTATTTTAAATATATTTTATTGATTTTTTTACAGAGAGGAAGGGAGAGGGATAGAGAGTTAGAAACATCGATGAGAGAGAAACATCGATCAGCTGCCTCCTGCACGCCCCCTACTGGGGATGTGCCCTCAACCAAGTTACATGCCCTTGACCAGAATCGAACCCGGGACCCTTCAGTCCGCAGGCCGACGCTCTATCCACTGAGCCAAACCGGTTAGGGACACATATTATTTTTTTTTAAAGTCCCTAGAAGAGTTGCCGAAGGATAATATATAAAAACACCAAGTATATTCCCGCTCTCTGTGTTATTAAATCTTTCGGTGCGATTATAGAAGGTCAGAGAGCATTCAACACGGCTCATACTGTTAGAGATACGGATGCCGTCTCTTTATTATCGCACGCCTGGTATTCACGCTCCTCGTTGGAGACCTGCAGTTACTTTTTATATTAAAGAAAAACAACTAAATTTTTTTTAAAAAAAACTATGTAGTTCAGTGGCTATGGCTTATTGAAGTCGAGTTGTTGTTTCGAGTCACGTTACCGGAGCCCCTGAATCTTACCTCCAGGTGCCGGCTTCACTTTGGGAGTGGCTCGCATTTTTTTAAAATAAAAAAAATAATTATTTTAGGGTGCTTCTGCGATGTTGAGTGCCTCAGTAATTTGCATACGTCTGTATGGTGTGACTCAGTATCATAACAGATGTGACTGTGATAAAGATTTTGCAACTATGAGAACAAGCCGTTTAAGTCCTAAACTGTGATGGTGTGTGTGTGTGTGTGTGTGTGTGTGTGTGTGTGTGTGTGATTTACTCTGTGAAGAAAACGAAATAAAAAGTAGGCTAGGCTCCAGTGCTTTGACATAGCTCGGTGGAGGAATTCAGAGTCGGGGTCTGAGATAAATGCCTGTGAAAGAAAATGCATATTCTGTCGGAGAAGCCCTTAGGGGAAGTTGCCATAAACACAGAAGAAAGGAAAATGGGATTTATCTTTATATATTGTTTTTTCCCCCAGGGATTACGCTTTATTGCCTTAGAGATTCGAGGGCGTGGAGAAATGTTGACTATGGAGGCATGGCGGCCAGAAATATAGATGTAGCTACAGCTGGAACTATAGATACAGATAAAGATAATATGGATGGAGATATATGGGTAAAGGTAGAGATGGGTAAAGATAGAGATATGCAGAGAACCAACTATCCTGTTCTCTCGCCCTCCTTTTCAAAATGTGGATTAAGATAAGGTCACGGCACGTGTTTCCTTATAACGACGCATCCCGTTGTAACCAGTTGGCATCCTCTTCACATCCCGGAGGCAGGCACTGAGGGCGTGTGGGCTGACGCCGTGTCTACGGGGCGGGAGCACTTCTGGTCCATTTCCTCTCGCAGTCACAGCTCTGATGTTGAAAAAGGAACAGCGTCCTCATGGCCCCGGCTTTCTTTTTTCTCGTTTCCATCGTAAAGACGTGGCGGATTCCCATTCCTTCTTACAAACCGCTCCCTACGTGGTGTGGTGGGGGTCAGCCAGACCCACCGAGCGCCGTGGTCCGTGGAGTTAGCGATGGAGCCGGGACGGGCAACGGGGCAGATTCCCTTCTTCTCCGCCATCAAACCTACCGTCAGGTTTCTCCTCCGCGTCCCAGAGCCAACGGCGCGCGTGTCCCTCCGGAGAAATCCAACCTCCTCGCCGAGACCTGGTGCCTAAATTACTCTCCGGTGTTTTTATAGTTGGTGTTGGTCTAGATTCCATACTGAACTGAGCTGATTTGGGGCAGGGAATTGCTCCATCTTGGTCATATGACATCCCTAGAAGGTGGCATACTGTCTAGCGCACAGTAGGTACTCAATAACGAATCATCAACCCTCCCCGCCCCCGCCCCAAATAAATGATGCGTTGGGGAGAAACTCGCCAAAGTCTTTCGCAGACTTGCGATGAATCCCCATAGCTCCCCTTTATCCTATTATTTTTCTTCTTTTACCTGAGAATTCAAAAACGTAGAGCGTAGTTTTGACACACTTGGGCTTTGTAAAGAGAACGTTAAGAGAAGGGATGGGGTTTCATTGGGGTAAAAGGTGCTGAAAATAGCCATTTTGTGAATGTTAACTGACAGAGATTTTATATATGTGAAATACATATATATACTTATATATATATACACATGTCCATATAGAGACATATATGTATACATCTAACGAATACTTACATATGTATGAAGTCTGAGACTTTCTGAGGATTTTTCTTTTCTTTTTTGCAGGAAATGGCCAACCTAATACGACTCCTACTACTGCTGGTAAGACTGCATCTTTCCATTTTGCTGATTTTATTTTGTTGTTGCCAAGTTTATATACTTAACGCTGGTAGAGTTTTTCCGTCACGGCCCGATGGGATCCCCGTGTGAGGGCGCACTCTCAGGAACTGAACGTTCTCCCGTTCCTCACACGTCTGCTCAGGAGATAGGACGTTGGGGGAACCTCCCGAACACATTGCTATTTGTGCGTATTATCGAGTGTAAAGTACGGCTTTTCTTAAACTCGGGGCAGGATTCCAATCCCTTTCAAAAGGTCGGCACTCCAGAGAAATCGAGTCCGATCACGAAGCGTTATCGTTAAAAACAGGGTAAGGAATTCCCTGAGAAAATGAGAGAGAATTTTAAAACAAAATTATACGTAAAAGGCACAGATTCCGTCCAGAGAAACACTTGGACACTTTCTGGGCATTTTGTACTAATTATTTCCAAACTCGACGGTTGCACCTGAATTTTGTCTTGACAAGCATCCTGAGCCTCGGACAAGTTCCATTTAAGTCACGTAGCGGCTGAAAATAAATGCACACCTACTATGTGCCAAATGAGAGAGAAGCCTCAGGTTGCATTTGGGGAAAATAAATGCGCACCTACTGCGTGCAAAATCAGAGAGAAGCCTCAGGTTGCACTTGGGGAAAAGGAAATCGCTCCCCTTAAGTGTTACCGTTATCGAAAATGCGCCATTGATTCCCCGATCAATCGTGCGGCGGGCGGTACGAATGAAGAAGGTGAGTCCAGCTCTGACATGCGTCAGCCCCGTCTAGTAAGATGGCGTGGGCATGGACACGCGCGTGGCTCTGTGTTGCTTCCACAGCCCGGGGACGGGGAAGTCGCTAGACTCGCGTGCGAGGAGGTCTCGGGGCCTGACTCACCTATTTATCTTCTCCTCCTCCGTTTCCCACGATGTCACAGGGACGCCCGAGGCTCAGCCCACAGCTTCCCTCTCACCCGCAAGCACCACGCAACTCTCACCCACAAGCACCTCCGAGCCGGAGCGCAGCAGCCCCCCGGCGGCCACGCCAACGCCTAGAGCCGGGGCTCCTACCGTAGGGACAACCGTGAGCCCCCAGGGAAATGCCAGTCAGATGGACGTGGCAGGTTGGCACCCATGTCACCTGAGACGGGAGGAGGGGAACTTGTCTTTTACTTTTTACTAATTGATTTTAAAGAGAGAGGAAGGGAGAGGGAGAGAGAGAGAGAAACATCCATGATGAGAGAGACTCATCGATCGGCTGCGTCCTGCACGCCCCTCACTGGGGATCGAGCCCGCCATCCGGGCCTGTGCACTGACCGGGAATCACACCGCAACCTCCTGGCTCATAGGTTGACGCTCAACCACTGAGCCACACCGGCTGGGCCATTTGTATCATTTTTAAAAATTAACTAAAATAATTACATGTGGACAGACACGGGGTTAGCAGGTTGGGTCAGTTCAGAATCGGGTTGGCGATGAGAGCCGTGGGGGCTATGCCCCCTCCCAGCCTGTGTCCGGCCCCCCGAGTGGGGGACGTTGATTGATGGAATGTGTCCCTTTCTCCCCGTAGGACCCACCTCCACGCAGCTGCCTGTCCTTCCCACAGACCCGCAGACAACCAGCACGGCCCCCCCGCCCTCACGCACCCAGGCTCCGGGCGGCAGTGGCACAGCAGGTTGGCGGGTCACACTTGGGGGCACGTGCTGAGGCGTGAAAGCCGCCCTTGTTGAAGGACGGGGTGCGGGGACGCCACCGCCTGCTCCGGGGGAGGTGGCCTCGGACGCAGTGGGGGCGCCCTGTTCCTCGCTGGGTGTCGCCGGGGGTGGGGTTCTCAGGATCTGAGCCGCGCCCAGGGGGACCGCGTGATTTTTATTTGGGTGGAATGACACCCCGAATCCAGTCCTGGCGAAGCGTAGCTGGGGTTTCGGGGCGGCGAGAGGCGAAGCCAGTGGCCGGGTGCCCTTCCCCCGTGGGAGACGGTCCCGTTCAGCATCCGGCGGGTTGTAGGCCCTGAGCCCACTGTGCGTGGGATTCGCGTGGCTGTGGGCCATGTGGGCGGGTGCCAGGAGGCCAGGTGTGAGCCGTGAGCCACGCGTGCCAAGAGGAACCAAGAGCGTAAGAGAGTGTAAGAGAGTGAGTGTCTGTTCAGGGATGTGAGGGTCCCCAGTCCTCACCAGCTCGCAGTGGCCAATGGCCTTCGTTCTCAGGTGTGAGTGACAGTGAGCACCTTCCTTAGTCCCGCCCCTGTCCCCCCTCAACCCCCCCCCTCCACTTTACTGTCTGTCTCCCCTTTGTTGGACCCCTGGGGAGTGTAAAGTTGCAGCTTTCCAGTGAAGCTGCCCAAATCGCCAGCCTTCCCTTGGCTCCTGTCCTGTTATTTTTTATTTTATTTTAAATATATTTTTATTGATATATAAATACCAATTTAAATATCGATTATGGGGACTGTCACTTCTCTCTCTTTTTTTTAAAAAAAAAATATGTTTTTATTGATGTCAGAGAGGAAGGGAGAGGGAGAGAGAGAGAGAAACATGGATGGTGAGAGAGAATCATGGATCGGCTGCCTCCTGCACGCCCCACACTGGGGATGGAGCCCGCAACCCGGGCATGTGCCCTGGCCGGGAATCGAACCCTGACCTCCTGGTTCCCAGGTCGACGCTCAACCACTGAGCCACGCCGGCCGGGCCAGGTTCCTTTAAAATGTGGGCTCTGGTGATGAAGCACCTAGATTCCGAGTTGCCAGCCCTGACGCCCGTCCCTCCCGCAGCCTTGCGGGGCCGCCTCGCTCCACAGGAGGCGTCTATTGCGGGCCCACAGGAGGGATGGGTGGCTGGCGGCGTGGCTCGGCCTCACGCATCCCGGCCACGGCCACACTGGCTGCCTGGCCCCTGGCGGGGGCGGCAGGGCCCGGGGACAGAGCTGACGGCCATTCTAATTGCAGGTGCCCCGACAGTGCCAGCCCCCTCCCGCACCTTTCCTGCAGACACCATGGCGGTCCCGGCCGCAGCCACCACCAGCCCCGCACTCAGCAACCTCACTGCCTCACCCACACGCACCTCCGACAGCACCAACAACTCCTCAGGTCGGACGGCGGCACCAGGGGTGGGGGTGGGGGGTCTGGGTTTACGGATAATGAATCGGAAACTTAACCTTGAACGCTGCTCCGTATGTCACGCCGGAGGCTGCGGGCAGGTTCCCGCGTCACGCGTGTTTGCGTGTTGATACGGAACGTTAGGCAAGAGGAACTCCGGCCAGGCAGCTTTTTCCAGGCGTGTTTTATTTTCTTATTATTATTATGAAAGTTCATGGCAGAGAAGGAAGGTAAGAGCCTCTCAGGTCGTGTAGGCCCCGGAAGCAAATCCAGCCTCTTCGACCTTCATACACAGGGCACTGGGCCTTTCTGTGTCTCAGTGTTCCCGTCTGTAAAATGGGCACAATGACACTCGTTCTCTTCTTATAGGACGGAGGGTGTAAAAAGCCTGGCAGGGCATGGAAAGCACAAGAGGGTAGCGGGCATCCTGATTAGTAATTGTAGCGGAGGGGGAGGGAGGAGGTTGAGGGTCACACACCAGGTAAGAACGCCAGCCAGCAATGAATTCCTGGCTCTCAACTTATACGATGCTGCGTTCCGATTATGGGGACCGTTAGTTCTCTCTCTTTTTTTAAAAAAAAAAAATATGTTTTTATTGATTTCAGAGAGGAAGGGAGAGGGAGATAGAAACATCCATGATGAGAGAGAATCATGGACCGGCTGCCTCCTGCACGCCCCACACTGGGGATCGAGCCTGCAACCCGGGCATGTGCCCTTGACCGGGAATCGAACCGTGACCTCCTGGTTCCTAGGTTCGAGGCTCAACCCCTGAGCCACGCCGGCCGGGCAGGACTCTTAGTTCTCTTAAAGGTCCATGTGTAGATACATCTTTGGTCCATGATCTTAATTGGAAAACAAGTCTTAAGAGCCCCCCTCTCGCAAAGATGAGGTGCCTAGGAGACCCCTCCTTGCTCAAGAGTCTTCACCCCTCGCCCTGCAACCTGGCAAACGCATTAACGTTCACTCTTCTGTTCGTCTCCTTGCAGGTTTGGCCCCCACAGCCCACCCAACAACACCCACTCAGCAGCTTACAACAAGCAACCTCACCTTCCCTTCCACCACCACAGGTGACAGCCTCACCCCCAGTCACGCAGCCACGGCACCCGCACCCGCCCGCGACGCGCTCACGGGAGGGCCCTTTCGTTGAGGGGTTCCATGGAGGGTCGTAGACCCGAGGGCGGGGATGGCAGCAGATGAGGCCAGGGAAGGGTGTAGAGAATTGGGAGGATGCAATAACCTATTGTGTCCCTGTAGTAGCATCCCCCGGGAGTCGTGTTCCTGATGAAACATGTCTGCAAACAGATGAAGGCCTCTTTAAGAGTAGGGTGAGGTGTGGGCGTGAGAAAAAAAAACAATTTCGTCAACGAGCTGGGCGTTCCAGGTGATGCGTGGTGGAGGCGTGCGCTCCAGCCACGCAGCCTGGGCGGTGGGCAGAGGCAGGACCTCCAGGGTACAGCGGGCCGGCCACCGATGGGGGGCCTGTCCGTAATCACGGGGTCGAGCCTGCCAACGATTCTTCAGCTCAAAGACCCCTCCAAGCACATTCCCACCCGGTCCTGTTCGCTCCTTCGTTCACACGAGATGCGTCTCAATTGGTGGAGAGAGCGACTTATTGCAAAGAGCTTACCAGGGCCGAGCTGGAGAATGAAGCCACCCTTGCCTAGTTTCTGACTTCCCCCCCGCAACAAACGTGTCCAGAGGTTATCTCTCTATATAAAAGGCTAATATGCAAAGTGTCCCTGCGGGAGTTCGACCGGGAGACCGGGAGTTCGCTCGCTCCCTCGCTATGACGGGGGCTGACCACCAGGGGGTGGCGCAGAACGAAGGAAGGCCCCGGTC